GCGCGGCGCAGCCCCCCGGGGCCCGGCCACCGGAACGGCCTGGAGTGAAGGCTGCGGCGGGGGGCGGGCGGGGGAGAGGCTGCGGCCGGCGCCCTCTCCCGCTCCCCGGCGTGAGTCACTGTGCAAAGGGCACATGGACATGTAAGTAACGTGCACTGCTCTCCCAGGCACCCCCCGGGGCCTCCCGCAGCTTCCCCGCAGCCTCGGGGCCAGGCCCCAGCCAGCCTCCCCCTCGCGCGCCTCGCTCGCCCCTGGGCTAAGGGGGATGTGGGGCTAAGACAAGAAAAGCTGGAGGGGGCGGGGGAACAGAGAAGCGGCCCAGGAGGGGGGAGATCGGGACAAAATCGTTTGAGCGAGTCCCAAGCGGGGGGCCCAAATAGCGTCTCATTGCGAAAGTTGGGGCAGAAAGCGCCCACTGCTGCCCCGCGAAGCATTTGGGTGAAAACGGGATTTCATGGAGACTTTTAAACCCTTCCGTGTTTATTTAAAAATCACGTGCTTTGCAGCAGTTCAATGCCTAACGTAATCGCCATTTCACAGGTCAAGAGCTTTTTACACTTAGAAATCACAATTTAAAAAAATCAACCGAGACCCCAACCCACCGTTAAAGCTACGTCAATTAAAAGTTGCCGAAGAAGTGGCCCGTCTCGCTTGCTTGTTTCCTGGCGCTGGAGGAGGGTATGGTGTGGGAATGTTACAACCCTCTCAAAGTTTTTTTAGAAACACGTTTTGCAGTCGTTGTTTAGGAAACACCACTCTAGTGTTGAATTTAAACAGATCCGGATACAATATTCTTTTTTTTTTTTTAAAAAAAAGCACTGCATTCCAGCGAGACCAGAGTGACTGTGTATTTCTCCTTTTGAAAAATGGGTTTCCCACCCCGCTTTCCAAATTTAATCTCCTTTGCTAGTCCACCCGTCCGTTTGTATAGTTCCCGTATCTGTACATTCGCACGGTTCGCCGAAAAGAATTAGGATTCAATTTATTTTTTGGTAATTAATTTCAGTTCAAAATCAAATAAAGAAGCATCTTTGGTAACAAGCGAAACTGTAGTTCGAAAGCCAAAAAGAGGGCGGTGGGGAAAAATAGAAAAATAAAATACCTGTAATTACAACTGAATCTAATGATTTGTACAACTGGGGAATTGGTCTAGATTAGCTAACAATTAAATATAACTCCACCAATGTATCGGTGTGAGGTGCAGTTGTCCAGGAGACGATTTTGTATAGTATTTTTCTTGTACATTACTTCTAGTAAATATTTGAAAATATATTGAAGTACACTTGAGCTTTTTTTCTTTTGTCACGAGAAAATATTAAGCGTTATTGTTGCAGTCCTAGTTAACTGCCTTTTTTTCCTGGACTTGTTTCTTGAAGTGTACTTTCAGATGGCACTTCAGGATATAGTTTTTGCTTGAATATTAATTTAGATAGGCATAAATCTGTAAGCAAACAATATTTGATAAATGTTGAATGACATTTAATTTAATGGAGCATGTACTTATTTGCATTTGCTGGCAGTTCAGGTATAGTTAAAGTGAGAGTTCTCCTATATTTCATAAAGTGGGTTTGCCAAAACCCATGTATTAAATAAACTGTCCAAGTGAAACTGAACTAACGTTGGCCTATGTGTATTTCCTGAAAATAATATTGATAAATGTTAATAAACACTCCTGACACTACATTAGGGGTTTGCAAATGCTGCAAACTATTTGTCTCATTGTAATGTTGAAATAATTTGGATATTTCACATTGAAATGGAAAGCCTTTCGCTGGAACATTTTAGATTTGCATTTTAAATGCATGAAATATGTAATTGATTTTTATCTGTAATATTTTAAATGGTATTAATAAACTCCAGATAAAACATTCTATTAGGACAACTAATTGTTTTTTTTAATGCAGTCCCTGTAGGTGGTTCTTTATTTACCTGCAATTCCTGCAGTCTGAATAATTCTCTAGATTTTAATGTCAACAAGGGAATACAAAGAATCCAATTTAATTGTAAAGGCTAGTATCTTGTGCAATCTGCACTTAGTCTTGAGACTTTAAAATGGATAAATTAGCCTGTGTGAAAACTGCAACAATAGTTGAAATTAAAGGAAATGCCTACTGCACTACTGGCCAGTGTATTGATCCTATGAAAACACTGTGTATGAATTAATTGGGTTACATGTAGCTCTTTAATTTTTTCCTCTCTTCTAGGTCAGATCAATTGTAAACAGTCAATTTATATTAAAAATCATTATTTATTGAAAATCTAAAATAATATTCTGGGGATGTTTTTTGGGTACCATAAGGCCACCATATCCACCCACAAAAATGTAACTAATATGAGGTACTCCAACTTTGTATAGGCATTATGGGGGGGACTTATCTTCTGGTATTGGGCTTGAATTTGTTAATTTCAAGAACTGTAATCTGTTAATTTCAAGGACTTTACACTCAGGAGGCACTAAAACTGTTGATATATTAATTGGTTATTGTCCATAGGTGTCAGTGAACATCATTTAAAAATATTATTTACTGTGTGGGTTTCCTAGAACAGAATGTCACTTACTGATCTAGAACAAAGAGTATGAAAATGCATACAATTTTTAGATTTTGGTGAAAAGTCCTGGCCAACTCTTCTTGCCTTAGAACCTGTTTCTCTTTGAAAACCTAATCTATTCTATTAAATATAGGAAACACATTTTGCCAGATTATTGAATCCATGGGAAATTCAGTAACTAAAGAAATATGTATACAGATCGGAAATTCCCACAATTGCACTCTGTGCATGTATGTGAAATATATAAGCATCTATAGCATATCCTAGCAATTGTAAAGGAGTGATGCACCCAAGAACTTGATCCTGTAAATTTATGGGCATTTAAAATAAACTGGAACCAGGAATTATTCTAAATAAACTAAATTTCAAGTAGCCTTTTTACAAATGTAACTGTTAGAGGCCTGCAAAGTTTTCCACTGAAACAAAGCAACAGTTTGTGGTGCCTCTTTTTAATGGTGTTTAAGTGGGATCAGTTTATTTAAATGTAGCTCTAGTTATATCTCTATGTAAAATTAAGTAGTTTTTATTTAAATAATAGTTTAGGTCCTGAGGAATATAAGGAAAGTTATATGTTAAATGTTAAAAGTTAAAAGTTAAATGTTAAGATGAATGCTACTTCTGGTAACTCATAATAATGCTCTTTCAGTCTGTCACTTAAAAGAAAAGGAGGCTAACATGACAATAAAGAGAAGACTGCTGCTAAATTTATGGAGCTAGCTTTCTGGACGTGGGGCAGGTTTATAACAGGATCTGCGCATGATAAAACTCTTCCTTCCCCTCCCCCTTAAAGGTGTGTGACCTGTTCCCGTTGTATAAGAGTAGACATTTTTTTCCCCGTTAACGTCTTCCGGGAACAAAATTCTGATCTCTTTCCCCTTTGATTTATTTTTTTTACTAAACTCGCCTTGCTAAGGGCATTGAGTTGTTTGGTACCAACTGCAAATTATCCAGAGTTTAAACCAAGCGTTGTGTAGATCAAGGTAGAATTAAACTAGTGCTGACCTTCAGGTCAAACCGGTGTCCATCAACTCACCTTCCAAGCGCTTTAGAATTATTGCGGCCATTCTTGTTTGCTCTTTGACCTTTTAAGTCTTTCTTCCACAAGCTTATACCAATGTCTGTCAAATTTCGAGTCCTATTTTTTCCTTTTATTCCAGCTTTTCATTTTTCAGTTTTACTTTTCAGAAGGATAGAGAGGGAAAGCGCATGCAGTTGAGTTGGTTGAAAAATATTAGTGATTTCTGACTCGGCTTAAATGCGTTTTCTTTCTCCTTCCTCCAGCCCCATCAGTCTAATACCTAAAGATAATAATACAAGCCAGAAACCATTTATTTAAATCCAGTCTTTTCTCCCTGAGAATGTAAAAAGGAAAATGAATGCTGAACATTTCCTGCCATGCAGATCGGTGATACAACAGTAACATTTTCAGAGCCTTCAAGAAGTCAGCACTGTAAGAATGTGTATGATGACAACTTATAAAAAATAATTCCCTAGGTTTGCATATATATATAATGTGTGTGTAGATAGGTAGATGCGGAGCTGCCTAAAATTGGCATTCTTCAATTGTGTTTGGTGACGCGATCTCTAATTTTGGCTTTGAGAAGAAATAGCACAGAAAATGTGTGAATTTGTTGTTAGTGTGGTGTCATAAGATGTAGTGACTCCAGAACTTATTCAGGTCTGATGAAATGTTGAAACATTTCCACTCAAATTCAAAGTAGCTATGTGTCTCTTAACATACCGAAAAGAGCTGGAAAATCAGCTAGTTTCATTTTATACTCTGCTTTATTATATTAAAGGACTCTTTAAGAATCAGATCTTAATCCCCCCCTCCCCCAGGTCCGTGAGGAAAAAACTGAATTCGCTACTTTAAATCTGAATATTTTAAATTTTTCTACAATCATCTGTATTTCCTTCTTGTCGGTTAGTTCGCGTAGAATCTTGCAGAGAAGGTGTTTGTTATACACCAGAAAAGTGTGTTTTGGGGAAAACCTACTTCAGTTAAGATTTTCTGAGTTTCTAGTCTTGTGACTTTTAAACGCTGCTTGGAACTATTCACTTTGCTACTTTTAAAAATGCCTTGTAACGCAGTATTGCATAGCACATTGTGTATCAGATCCCGGTAAATTCCGGTAATCCCCCCCCCCCCCCCCCCCCGCCGC